TCTCCACCACCCCCTTTCAGATTGAAATTATTTTTCTGATGGTAATTTACAACCTAATTCCTCAGTCTGTCTTTCATAGGAGACGGGACTGCTGCACTGGTGAATCTAGCTAGCAGTGCTGTTTAATGCTGCTGGGAGCAATTAAATTGTTGACAAGAGTAGAACTGTAGAATGGGAAAATAAATAATACAAAGATGCGTGACACTGTAGTTGTATTCCGTGCCACGTTAAAGTGTCCTCCTAATAAGTTTCAGGGGGAAGGGATGGATTATGGCTGCCTATAGAAGTCTAGGTATGGGTAATAGTTTTCTTTCAAAACTTTGTAGACTCTTGTCTAAGCTGTCTTAAGGCTGTACCTTTGTGCACTGTAATGGTCAGTCTCAGGTGTGTATCTGTAGGATAAATGTGGATGTCTGTAGGATATCTGTGGAAATTTATGATGCCCAAGAAACTTATGCTATTTGAAGCCCATCTCAAATTCCTGTGAATGCTTGGTATAAATGTATTTGGGAGGGTTGGGAACTACATCTGGCAAGGATTTTTCAAGATTCTTGCACTAATTAATTCTTTTTATTGCTGTTCCTTTTAAATCGTTCATATATATATATTTTGCAACCAAAACATCTTTAAGTTGGGAATTGGTTAAGGGAATCATCTGTTTACTCAGATTTCTAACATCTCATGATCACTTTTTTATTTTGTGCCTTAAGCCTAAAATACATATGTTTGCAACTGTTTTGATTTTTCAAGATGGTCTTGAAAGAGTAGTCATCTTCAAAGATTCAAAGCTTTTGCTTTATTTCATCCCTTGTAACTGCTTTATTTTGCCTGCTCTTCTCAAGACATATAGTGTGTATACTGCAAGTGCTTTAAAGCAAGTCTTTCATGTTCCTTGCTCTTCAGAGCTTCTAATACAGACTTTGTCACAGTTCATTTCTTAAATATATTGTACTCCTGTATACAGTGGTAGGCTGTACTAACTCATTTTATTGAGTAGTTTGTTCACAACCAGAAGTTTGTCCTTTGTGGAAAGTTTTGATTGAAAGTCTTCAGCTGGTGCTCAGTAAGATGGTCTCTCTTAGAATCGCCTAATACAGGAGAGGAAAAAAAAATGTACGTGCTTACTAACCTTAAGTTTGTAGGCTTCACTTTTCTGTGCCAGCAGTTCTTGGCCAGATCTTTGTTTCATCCCCCTTTAGCACTGCTTTGACAGTTCTTTCGAATTATTCTCTTATTTCCTTTCTGTGTTCCTCACACCTGTCTGGTTCATAATTCATGAAGGAAATATCCCCATAATCTCCTAATATTAATTGTCTAATTTTTATAAGAGAACAGACCTGTGTCCATATGCTTATGTATATATGCACTGTATGTACGTGTAATATGATTTTGAACGTCTCGGCAATGATTTGGAGTATCCCCTAGAACATTTTGAGCTATATCTTCAAGTTGTAAAAGTGATATATACCAAAAGCTTTTGTAACATGCCAAGAGGGTGGTTGGGGACAGAGCTCATTGCAGGTTCCCGTTGGAGCTGTTAGGCTTGCTTTATTCATTACCTAGGCTGGAGCTGAATTAACGTTGGAGTGCCACACCAGATGGGTGACACTGGAAATGACCTTTCTTCATAAAACAAACAGAGCGTTGGGCACTTTTCTTGCTGTCATCTCTGTTCCGTATCTGTCATGTGTTGTGAGTTATCACTGGTGGCCTTTATTAGGTGGTGGCCCTTTGCAGGCCATATTATATAGGAGAGTCCTTAAAAGATTTTGTTACTTAAGCCTTGCTGGTTTAAACTAACAGTGGAGATGTCAGTTGACACACTGTGCTGCATTGCAAATTCCTTAACTACTTAATTCCTACCCGAACAGAAAATTTGAAAGCAAGTTGTGCTGAAAGACACTTCTGTCAAGCAACAGCAACAAAAGTCTGCCCCAGAACAAGATTGTTTGAATATTTTCCTTTTTATTTATTCAATTTAGATCAGTTTAGTACTACATACATGTGAAACTGATTTATTGTTGTAAATGATGAATAAAAACTGTTTTAAAGACTTGTTCGTAAATTATAAACTCAGTGACCACAATTTTATTAGCTGTATTACTGAGCTATAGAAGCCTTTATATAAACCAGTTAGTTGTAAATAAACACACGTAAGCATAAGAGACAAATAAATTGTAAGTAAACGTACTTTATATATAAGAGAAATCCTCAATAAAACTTTTAACTCAGCTTTTTATTAATACAGCAACTTTTAACATTGTTTTTTCTGTATTTATTTAATTCTATCCAAGATCAGCTTGACATGTGTCTCAAAGATCTTTTGGCTTCTAGTAAATACAAGATTACATAAAATAAAAATAAAGAACCATATCTATAAAATTTATAAATGTATAACAGATGAGCAAAAAGTGCTGTCAAACTTAGCATAGACTTATCCTTTGTTTTAAATCAACTTCCAGCTAAGGAGAATTAACCTCTCTTCTGGAAAGTACAAATAGAGAATTTGAGTATAATTGATTGTTTAAGTCAAGGTTTATTCCTTTCAGATTTAAATTAGAATTGATGGTTTGTTTATTTTGGTATAAGTCAATCTGCTTTAACTAAAGGTGTGAGCTTATTTTTCTGAACCCTGAAAGTTAGATTGGTAAATTCCTTGTTGCTCAAGAGAAAGGGATTGAGAAATGTCTTTGTAGATGTTCTCCTGCTGTAGCTCTGAGCCTCGAGGGGGGAGTCCACACATCGGGTATAACTTTTAACTAGAGCAGAATGTCTGAAAGCTAGTTAGTCAGATGGAGATGTGTATTGTTTTTTCCTTCTTCCTTGCCTCCCTCGCTCTGTAAATGAGGTTGGCTTCTGATTGCGGTTGGGATGTTCTTTCTTTTGCTGTTGCTGAAAGGTGGGGGGGGCTTTGGAAATGTATTTTAGTCTTATGGTAGCTGTCAAATAACACGTTAGTAGACTCCCAGCTGCCTGTGCAGATTCAGGTGATGCTTCTTTTCAGTGTGTGTACACATATGGATTATATGCATGTGTCAATAATGAAGTATGCTGAAGTCCTCATAATAATATTGTTATTATGAGGTAGTCTTTAGAGAAACAATGGAAAAGCGAAGGTTAGTGACTCTCGGATAAAACTGGTATTTTCTCCAGTCATGCTAAAAGCTCTCTGTAGCTTGATAGAAACTAAGGGCTTGTGGCATAAGCTTTTGGTTGGAATTCTCTGGCCTTTTTTTATATGAGGCTAGAATTGACCTTCAGGGTCCCTCTTGGCTCCTCATGTTAATCCCTTTGTGGAAATGGTCATGAAGTAATAGCTGTTAGAGCCTAACACAGAACTTCAAATAGGAAAACAGATTAAATATCAATAATTATGGAAGTGACTTTAAATTTTGACCCTACATTTGAAGGCACTGCATAAATGTAATAACATATTGTCTGTGAATAACATGGAGGAATATAAAACATACTGAGGTGCCTGTATGATGCCTAGAATTAGAGATAGCCATAGAGTGTAATGACAATATGTCATTTTATTCTTCTAAGATATGTTAACCAGGTTATGGTAAAAGAATTTAAAATCTGTCATTCTGAGCTATTTGTAGCTGTTTAAGTTCTGTGGGAGTGACTTTTACGGAAGACATGTGGTTATATACTGTAAAAGATGGGGTTTGTATTTTCTTTATGCATCAATCTTTTGTGCTATGTTTCAAAGCAAATAGGAACAGATGGAGGTTTGCTTTTGATACAACACAGCATTTAAAACTCTAGTATTGTGAAAAGGGTATGTGTTATTGAAAGACTTTATCAGGGAGGCTTTTTGTTTTCAGTATAAAGTTGCATTAGGATAATATTTTTTATCACGCTGTTAGAGATCAAAGTATTAGTATAGTAAATAATCCTCTTTGTCTAACATATCTAAATATATAGTGCTAGCTTGCATACTGTGCTCCTTTACTTCAGGAGAAACCCAAGTATTGATTGCAGGCTGTCTGCCAGTAGGACAACAGTTTGTCTCTCATGTGGGAAGAGCATCTTTTGCTGGCACAAAATGGGATTATACCATTGCCAGGAGTCAGCTCCACCTTTGCCGTTATACCATTGCCAGGAGTCAGTGACAGCTCGTTAATTATTGCTTTTGTCTGTAATGATTTATCCTGTGTGAAGAATGTGTCCTTTCTTAAAATCATTCAGTAATGTTCCTGTGACTTTTATAGCGTCTATATTCAATGTTTACCACCAAGACAAGCAAATGTGATGTCTTTGTGTGCATGTGTAAGGTTGCCATATCTTTGTATCCATGATAGATATACATATATATATACACATATATGCACATGCCAGCATCTAAACTACCATGTTGAGAATGGAAGGTAAATTCTTCTCCAACTGGTGTTGGCTTTGCATGGCTGACGTGGTTGTGCTAGTGTCCTCAACAAAATATACTTAGAAGTGCAACTAGCTAAGCATAGATAACAGACCACTGTAAACACATCTAGTGGTATATAGTTTCCTAGAAGATGATGCTAATTTTATGTCAGCTGTCTTTCTTCTCAGATATGCTGCAATGCACAGAATTTTATGGGGAAGAATTATATAAAATTTAGTGTAAATAAGGAGATTGAATATGAAACAATGAATTTGTTTTAAGGTAACTGTCTATTAAAGTTTTTATAGCACAGGATAACTTAAAAACATGAATAGAGTTCCAGCCAAGTTGGCCAATCTGTGTTGATATTAAATGCAAAACATTTTGTCTAGCCAAGATCACCCAGTGAGCCTTGTGTAGCTTTTAAAAAATACCTGTAGCTTTCAGAGTATTTTGGATGCACAAACGTTAAGAAAAGGCACTTAGGTAAATCAATACATATTTTACCTTTTCTGTGAAAGTGTTGTTTAACTGCTGGTTTGAGATACCCATAAGGCAGAAGAGCTCAGTTGGCTGTCTCATGAACTGTTCTTAATGAGCATTATGTTATTTTCCCCTCTCGTTTTTCTAGGCTGTTCAATTAACCCCTAGACGATGGCTGAACCTGCAGGAGTACCAAAGCAAAAAAATAATGGCAGACCATGGGGTTACAGTTCAGAGATTCTTCGTAGCTGATTCTGCAAATGATGCCCTGGAGGCTGCTCAGAGACTAAGTAAGTTGACTGATAATGGGAGGAATCTGCTTCACCAGATAGCAATCTGGAAAATAAATTGCTTTCTAATAAGTTGTACACAATCTTCAAATTGATGCTTATTGAAAAGGTTTGATATATTATCCAGACCATAAATATATGCTTAATTTTGTATGTGAACAACAGTCTATAACAGCAATATTTCTTTAGAACTTTATTTCTAAAATGTTTTGTATGCAGCATGTAACATGAAGTCTTTAATTAACATTATGTAATTTTGAATAATTCAGAATTCAGAATAACATCATGAATGGTTGCTGAGAAAAATTATTATTGTTGTATACTTGCTATAATTTAAGGAACTGAAGTAAATGAACTTGTGTAAAAAGTTGTTTTCAAACAAAAATTTGCTGTATTAAAAAGCTAAAGAAGAAAAAGGTTGTGGACTCTCCATTTTAAAAGATTTCAGAACCCAGTTGGACACAGTCTGCTTTAGGTGACCCTGATTTGAACTGGTGGGTTGGACTAGACGATCTCCAGAGGTCCTTGCAACCTCAACTGTTCTATGGTTCTATGAAGAAATAAAATATGTATGAGAGAATTATATACATGTATATTTGTTCACATGTATGTTTGTCCATATGGAGAGAAAAGAAAAGGTGAGTTCAGTTACCTACCATCACAAAGTCTTGACAGTGGTTAGGAGAGAAGACCACGCTTCTGGAACTTCATTTTGGTTCTCTGACAACATCCTCATTTTAGTGTGGTGAACATAAGATGATAGTGTGTGTCAGAAATCAATTTATATAATACCTTTTCTCTCAAAAGGAAATGCATTTAAGTACTTTGTCGCCCAATTCTAAATCTGAAAGTTTTCTACTTTTTAAAGTTAATAATAGTTTGCATAGTTTTTTTCTCTTCATTTAGCTTTTGTTAATATTAGTATATCACACATCAAAATGCCAGAGGCCAGATTTTATTCTAGTTTAATTGTGTAGTAACAGGAAGGTTTTTTGTTTTGTGCTTTACATAATGCACAAGCCACTTAGTTAAATGCATTTCACTTTTGCACACTGGAAAGTAAATTAACACAACTTACTCCTATCAAAGATCTTATCAGACCTCAAGTAGCTGATTAAGATTACCGTAATGGCTTGTTAAATCTCTATAACTTTATTAGGGTGATACATTTTCCAGTAATCAAAACCTTCTTATGACAACCAGTATATTTGAAAATATATTTGAAACAAAAACATTAAATGCAACTGTTATGGTCATTTGGCAGTGCAAAATGAAAAATGCTGACACAAAGCAAAGCTCGTAAAATCAGAGGGTTTCCTCATGTCTGGATGCCTGAGAAAATCAAGAAATGCTAACTGAAGCTGTGGCAGGTTTTTCACAAATTTTACAGCACTTAAACTCTCCTCTTCATGATTGAACTCGTAAATGGATTGGTCTATCCAATAACTATTACTGTTCTCGATCCCTATAACTATTTGGAGAAATAAATGACTCCATTAAAGGCAGTGAACCTCTTCTGTTTTATGATGCCAGATTTATTTTAAATAACCTCTGTAGCTTGCTTGCTTTGCAAATCACAGAAATATTGGTCTATTAAAAAAAACAACTGTGTTGAAATTTAAATAATCAAAAGTAAAAACTAAATGCGAAACTTATTTGCTAATGAAACTTTATCGAGTAAATTGCATGTATTTTAACTGGGTTGGCTTGTTAACACTTCAAAAATTATGTCAGTGGTACCTTTTTTCATTTTATGTAATTGCATTCAACCATCCTGCATTAATGGGCATTAAAGAATTTTGGTTTATAGTGTGGAAGCTATTTCATGTTGAAATGATTGACACTCCATTGATCCACTAAATAATTAACAATATCCTTGTAATCATTCTGATAGCGTGCTGTCGTCGTACTTCCAAAATGCACTTTGAAAACTAAGCATCAAGAACACAAGTTTTGCTACTGTGGTCGTTGTTCTTCCAAGATTTCATCAAATTTATCTTCTTTATGATCCTTCAGACTAGTAGTATCTCTGTCACTCAGGTTTATCTGCACAATTTGATATGGGCTGCCGTCTTCTGAATATGCAACCATGCAAAGTAAAAAGTTATGAGCAAAACAAAAAACTTCAGCCTACAGGAGGCACAAAATATTCCAAAATAAAATAACAAATGGAGGCGGCTTTGGGGTGTTCTTGATAGACAGGCATTCTGCAGTAAAAGATGGTGAAAGGAGAGACCAATCACACCTGCCAAGTCCTGCTCAAAAATCTGGTGTTTTAGATACTGTATGCCACGTTGCAGCTGTCCTTAACTTTTGCTTCTGCAAACAAGAAAGGATGCTTGCCAACAAATTTCTAAGATTAATATAGAATAAAGTTGTCAAAACTTGAAAGTCAAAGGTTCAGTATTTTTCTTGTGAAAGGAGGTTCTTTCTGTAGACCTGTCATCATGAATACAGGAGAAACAATAATTTTCCTTGATAATCTTACAGCATTACATCACTCTCATAGGTCTGTGTGTGTGATAAAGGGGTACAGAAAAAGGGATAGAAATTCCTGACATGGAAGTCTTTACGAAGTCTGGTATTCACAGATTAATTTCACAATTTCACCAGATACTACATGCTTGGCAGAGCTGTTGGTATTGCTACAGTGCCTGTGCTCACCAATTTTGCTATTGTTGGATTTCCTGTTGATGCAATGGAAAGAGATGGGATTAGATTATTTTTGCTGCTGTCTTCACTTGTCAGGAAGGTGTTAATCCATGTGTTCTTGAAAACATTTGCTTTTATCCAGTATCAGCAGTTTTGTTATAGTTTGCTCATTTCCTCTGTTGCTCTATTTTTATTAATATGTACAGTGAATACACTGAATGTTAATTTTCCCAAAGATTTTCAAAACTTACCAACAGCACAAAAGGCAGTCTACAAGGAATTTTTAATGGAAATAAAGGATTGGGGTTTTTTTCTTCTAAGATAAGAATGGGAGATGTGAAGAAAATTAAAATGACATCACTAATATTGACTTCAAAAGAAGTTGTACACAATAAGGAATACAGAATTAGACCCCAAAGAATTCATTGCCTTCTACGTGCTAAGCAATTTTCAGGTGTAACTCTCGTAGAGAAGGCGATATTTACAAAATACCAAGAAATGCAGTCACAAATGGTTTTGTGTTTCATGTTAAGATTCCTAGATTTTCAAGAGAGGAAAGAAAAAGACAGTGTGCTGTTTTGCTACAACAGTATGGTGTTGCTTGATCTGCCATCTGAAGAAACACAACCTGTAAACAAGTTCTTACAGTTCTAGTGCAGCTATTTAACAGAACAAAGTGAAATATTTGGGAGCTGAGTTTTCGTCTGAAATGTAAGATCATCTGGCTATTCCTGCATTAACTCAAAGTCTTCTGATCTGATTCTCACTTAATGCAGTGGTACATTAAGGGCTTGTTTAGCCAAAGAAGGCATTTCCTTTCTTGCTATTTCTTTTCCTCATACTGTAGTACTGATATAAGGAGAAAATCCTTATATATGCATACATATACCCACACTATTAGGGTGTGTGCATTTTCATTGCTTCTATTGGGCAGATGCGCTGTGCATCATTTCAGGGTCCATCATTTTCTCTAGCCCTCTCCACTAGAGGCCTCTAAGTCTGCTTCAGCTCATGCACTGTTCTTTATGTTCTGCCTGATGGAGAAATTATTAAGGGAACCATCATTTTAAACTAGTAGGTGGACAAAGCTGAGAGGGATTATAATTATGCTGGAGGGTGTTACTATGTACTGTCAGTTGGCTCTTTGAATCAGTAGAGAACTTACAGGGGTGGTTGAAAATGCTGACAATCCTAAATGGATGCTGGAAGCTTGGCATGCGTTTCTTTTTCTGATTTTTAACAAAAGCAAGAGTGCTGCTCGTTGAGTGACTTAGAAACACTTAGAGTGTTTCATTACATTTAAGAATCAGTCAGGTGCAGTGTTCACACTCTTATCACAGAGAAATGCAATTGAATTGAGTGCAAGGCTTTTATTCACTCTTCTTTAAAAAAATGTATAACAAAATATAGTCTCTGCATGTCCTATTTCTATTGCCTTATGCATGAGGGAACTCATAAAATTCGGCTTTGGACTGAAGGCATGCTTTTTATATCAGGCTGGAGAGGTAAACATGTATTTTATACAGAACAGAAGAGGTTTATTGAAGCCTCTTTCCATGAGGTCATTTACCTGTCACCTATTATTCACTATTTTTAGAATATTGAAAGAGTTCTCAGTCATGTGATCACCCGACTCCTTCCTATCTCAGCCTGCTGAGTTTTTTCCTTTGGCTATGTTTAATTTAGATGGAAGGCTGCATTTTTAGATGCCGTTTCAGATCCCTTATATGAAAGTTCATCTCTCCAATACAAGTTGGGAAAACTGCTTGAAAGCAATTTATGTCTAGAAGGGATCAAAAATTGACCTTTAGCTTGGTAATGTCCTTTTTGTATAGATTATAAAGAAATTGTTGGTGATAATGCTGTCTGCATTTAATCTAAGCTTTTATGTTAGGAGAAATGAAAAAGATCCTTGAACCTGATGTTTCTGATGATATTAAAAATGTGAATTCAGATTCTTTTTTTGTTATACCAGAAGGAGCTTTTCTAAGAGTATCCTGTACAGACCAGCTCTCTGTTAAAGTTGTATTTAAGTAGCTTAATTTACTCCTCAGTCTTTGAGTTTATTGGCTGCTTAGCTGATCTTTTTTTTTACTATCATCATGTGCTTTACTTACATGATTTAATTCCCTTTCTTCTTCTCTCCATCAGGATAGGTAGGAGAGGAATTTTGCCTCCTTGCGTTTCTGTGATTTCCAAATTTCTTTCCATTATATGGTTCACTGTGTAGTAATAACTCTTCACCTGTGCATAATGAGTTATTTCTCAAAAAAACCCTATGTACTCAGTGGTTATAACTAGTTATTTTTTAGAGCTCTTTGGATTATGCTTCTCTGCATATGTTGAAA